TGCAATCACATTCCCGAGCTGGATCTGCTCTCCACTGCCTTGTGGGTCAGGCTATTGAGCCAAAGGCTCCGGGCGGAGTCCCTCAAGCAAACCTCCAAACCACCCACTGCCTTGTGGGTCAGGCTATTGAGCCAAAGGCTCCGGGTGGAGTCCCTCAAGCAAACCTCCAAACCACCCACTGCCTTGTGGGTCAGGCTATTGAGCCAAAGGCTCCGGGTGGAGTCCCTCAAGCAAACCTCCGAAGCACAACGACCACCTCGCGTGCGATTGCCCACCAATGCAATCGTATGCCTGCGCGCAAAGCACTCAGCATCGGGTGCTGGAACGTGCGCACACTACTGGACCGGAACTCGAGCGAGCGCCCGGAGCGACGCACTGCACTGGTCGCAATGGAGCTGGCGCGCTACCACATCGATATTGCGGCGCTCAGTGAAACTCGGCTCGCTGAGCAAGGTAAGTTACATGAAGCAGGTGCTGGCTACACATTCTACTGGGTGGGGAACGCCGCCTCAGCACCACGTGAACATGGGGTCGGATTTGCAATATCCGACCGCCTGAATGGCCAGCTGGTGGGTGAACCAACGGGCATCAGCGCGCGGCTGATGACTGTTCGCCTGCGACTCGGAAGAGGTAAGTTTGCTACTTTTATAAGCACGTACGGTCCGACCATGTGTTATCCTGATGACACGCGTGATCAGTTCTACACTGAGCTATCCTCCGTGATACGGTCTGTGCCGAGGAGCGACCGACTATTTCTGCTGGGTGATTTCAACGCGCGCGTTGGGCGTGATGCATCAGCGTGGACAGATGTTATCGGTGCGCATGGCATTGGTTCAGCGAATGCGAACGGTGACAGGCTGCTCTCACTGTGTGCCACTCACGGCCTGACGATCACGAACACTCGGTTTGCACTGAGTGCGAGTGATATAGCAACTTGGACGCACCCACGGAGTGGTCACGCTCACCTGCTCGACTATGTCATCGTACGTCAGCGTGATATGCGTGAAGTGCGCATGACACGTGTACTGCGTGGAGCTGAGTGTGGCACTGATCACAAGTTGGTTCGGACCAAACTGTACATATATTTTCGTAAATCGATGTATTGCACTCCCGCCGTGAATCGGCGTAAATTTAACATTCTCTCCCTCGGTACTGTGGCGAAACGTACTGAGCTGGAGAAGGCGATGGCTGCACGCCTGTGTGGTAATGTGGACTGTATAGCCACAGTGGGCGACCTGTGGCACCACATTCGCGACCAGGTGACAGCTGCTGCGGAGGAGACCATCGGGCGCGCAAACTGTAAGCGGCCTGATTGGTTTGATGACAACAATGTGACGATTGACGCATTGGTGTCAGAGAAGAATGCAGCATTTACTGCACATGTTGCAGATCCCAGTGACTTGGGGAAGAGTAGTCAGTTTCGCAAACTTCGACGGCGACTGACCCGAGAGCTCCGTCGCATAAAAAATGCATGGTGGACGGAGAAGGCGAAGCAGATGGAATGCTACGCCGAACGCCGCCAACACAAGGAATTCTTTGACCCGTTGAAGGCGGTGTATGGACCGAGATTGGAGCCGCTGAGGACACTGCTCGATGGTTGTTCAGGCGCTACCTGCACCCAGGCTGCAGACATAATGCAGGTCTGGCGGAAACACTTTGACTGTCTCTTGAACAACCGTTCAGAGATCGACTGGCCTACATTGAATGGCCTGAAGCAGCACGATGTGAAGGCGGATCTGGCGGATACGCCGAGACTGGATGAGACGCAGAGAGCACTTGCTCAGCTGCGAAACGGCAAATGTGCCGGAGGTGACGGGATCCCACCTGAAGTATTGAAACACGGTGGACCCGCGTTGTTGACTGCGCTGCACCACTTGGTGCAACGTGTGTGGATTGAGGAGGAGGTGCCTGCTGAGCTGAAGGATGCCCTTGTGCTACCACTGTACAAGGGCAAAGGTAGCAAGCAATGTTGCACGAATTATCGTGGCATCAACTTGCTGAGTTGTGTGGGCAAGGTGATTGCCCGAATCCTGCGCAATCGCCTCGTGAGTCAGATTGTGGAATCTAACGCGGCGGAAGAGCAATGTGGATTCCGTTCGGGTCGCAGCACTATAGATATGGTGTTTGTGGCTCGTCAGTTGCAAGAGAAGTGCAGAGAACGACACCAGCCTTTGTACTCGCTTTTTGTTGATTTCACCAAGGCATTTGATACGGTGAACCGCGAGGCACTGTGGCTGGTGTTGGGTAAGTTTGGTTGCCCGCGTAAGTTTGTAAGTTTAATTGAAGGTCTGCACAGTGGTATGCGACGGAGGGTGCAGCTGAGTGGAGAGACCTCTGATGACTTTGCAGTTGTCTCTGGTGTGAAGCAAGGCTGTGTGTTAGCTCCTGCCCTGTTTAATATCTATCTTCATGCAATGTTGTCTTGTGCTTTTGATGCGGCTTGTGCTTACGGTGTTCGTGTGGAGCACCGTATTGATGGTGGGTTGCTGAACATCCGTCGTTTCGGTGCGAGAACTCTAGTCTGTGAGACAACTATCCGTATGTTGCTGTTTGCTGACGACTGTGCGTTGTTTTCACACAGCGCGGATGAGTTGCAGCACATGACTAGTGCTCTGGCTTCGACAGCGGCCAAATTCGGGCTCACCATCAACACAAGCAAAACTGTCTGTCTCTTTCAGCCTTCACCGGAGGTGCAATCTTCAATATTGCCCCAAATCAGCATTGGTGCTGAAGTATTGGAAACCACCTCCCGCTTCTGCTACCTTGGGAGTGTGATGTCGACTGATCAGCAACTACACGTTGAGTTGCGTAATCGCGTGTCGAAGGCGGCAGCGGCATTCGGGAAGCTTGAGTACCGAGTGTGGAACAACCATCAGCTTAGCATTGGCACGAAGCTGATGGTGTACAAATCCATGGTACTATCCGTTCTTCTATACGGCAGTGAAACGTGGACGATGTACCGTCGGGATGTGCGATATCTCGAGCGGTTCCATCAGCAGTGTCTGCGACGCATTTTGCGGATCGGTTGGGGCGCCAGAGTTGCAGACACGGAAGTGTTGCGCCGAAGTGGGATGTATGCAGTGGACTGCATACTTTTACTGCGACACCTGAGATGGCTCGGCCATGTGAGCCGTATGGATTCGACGCGGATACCGAAACAACTTTTATACGGTCAGCTGAGTACTGGGAAGCGGCATGCTGGGAAACCAAAGTTACGTTACCAGGACATGATTAAAGTGAGCCTCACACGTTCTAATCTTGATTGCAGATCATGGGAATCGAAGGCGGTTGATCGTGGTGCATGGCGCGATCTAATCACGAAGGCAGTTGCTGAAGTGCGGGAGAAATCCCTCATGCATGCAGAGAAGAAGCGGCAGTTGCGGAAGCGGCAAGCACCGATGAATTGTACTCCATCGACATCGAGCGCATTGTGCTGTAGAACATGCGGTCGCGAGTGCCTTAGTCAGGCAGGCCTAGTGAGCCATGAGAGAGGTCACTCGGGACCACTGCCGAAGCGACGACGGGTCCCGCAGTGAACGTAGGCAGCACCGGCGCAGCGTTTGTAGGCACGCTGAATTCGATTTACTAACCGCATGGTTGCATGCTAAGTCTCTTTATTTCAGGTGGTGGGTTTTCGGTTCTCTCCTAATGCTTTTCTTTCTCATATAAATGTCTAGTGGGCCATGAGCTGTGCCATTTTGGGCCACTACAGAAGCGACGACGGGTGCTGCAGAGAATTACGACGAGCCGGCGCAGCGTTTGTAGGCACGCTGAATTCGATTTACTAACCGCGTGCTTGCATGCTAAGTCTCTTTATTTCAGGTGGTGGGTTTACAGTTTTTACCTTAATGCTTTTCTTTCTCATATAAATACCTCCCTGTACTTTATTCCATTAACTTGCACACATCGCCTAAGCCAATTGTGTTCGATTTCCATAACATTTTTGTGTTCGTGGCATTCCGTGAACTATACTTCCTGACCTCGTGCACTTAGCTAGGATTTGTTTGTAAACAACTTATTACGTATGCTATTTAATTAAGGTTTATGTCACCGTTTCCTTATGCATTAATCGAGTTTTTCTCTTTTTTCTTTTCTCTCTCTCTCTCTCAAGTGATTGGCTGTTGTTTGATATCCCCTGTGTGGCTGCGCTTGATGTGCATGTTGACAAGGTGCCTACCTGTCTAATACCCGCTACCTCGTCCATACTGGCTCCAGGAGACAGTTGGTCGTTGCTGGAGGGGACGGGGTGCACGGTCCTTGTGGCCGTGTTAGGCTCGAAGAGTGGTTCCATGCAGTCAGTGGGGAGCGGACTACGGTCCAGCCACCGCCTTGTGTGCGCTTGATTCCCAAATACAGTGTGCTTGTGTTTGCCTGTGAAGGAGTGTGGGCCGGCTCCGTTGATGAAACGTGGTTCCCATCCGCATGCCTCCCGGTCTTATTCCTTCGGGTTTACACTGGATATGGGGTGTGTGGTTGGAGCTGTGGGTGGTGCAGCGCAAGCCATCCATGGTCCCTCTGTAGGCGCAGGCGTCCTGTGGCTTGCCACAGTGACAGGCAAATCCGAAACCGGATGCCGCCAACCATTTATTTCATGAATTGCGGCACAATAGCGTAGGTGTTTTCCCACCTCTAGCAGATGTGTATAATGATGATGATGAGTGATGTGGCATGTGCGGAACGGCACAAACCAGTGAGAAAAACACATTGGTTTGCACCATAGTTGCACGTTTGTGTGGCCGTTGCATCAGCCGACGGTACTTTACATAATGCTTGTCATCCCACCGGTTGATCCTTACTTCCTACCCATATGAACAATTCACACGCACTTGTTTGACTGCTTTTTTGACTATACACGGTATTTTTAACAAGCTTAGCGAATAGATTTCATCATTGCATTTTATTTGTATAGACTATTCCGTATTTTTCACATCCTTGCTGCAGCCGCATGTTGTCATGGTTTTTCAGTCTCATGCCGTGATATTTTTGTCTCTTTCGTGTAGGAGCACGTTACGTCAGTACTGGCCAATTTATTGCACGCAATGCCCACACTAGGTGAAGCCGGTAATCCCCAGTCAACTTCCACCATGCGTCAAGTCATTACCGGGCGGAGAGGATCCCGCTTACTTGGCATGCTCCGGGCCTATCGACAGGACGTTGTTAAGCGGATGAATGTTTCCGTGACCTGAAGAAATCCTTTACCTTTCCACGCATTATTTTGATTATACTTTATTACATTCATGATCAGCCTTTTGCAATTCTCCGGGAGTTTCAGTACAGGCTTTTTATACCACAGTTTTTTCTGCCTATTATCTGGGGAGGGTTTTTGCCACACTTGTAAAGCGGTTTCATTTTGAGACCGAATGGTTCCGAACTGCTGTTAGAACGACTTGACTCGCGCTATTCGGTTCATCATTTGTACGTGATTTCCGTTGCAAGGAATAGCGTTGATATGGGGTCCTGCTGACTTTCACGCTTCTTTAGCTTGAATGAAGCACTATTTTGTTGGTTAATGACCCTTGAAATAACACTGGATTCACCTTGATGGACGCATCTCACCTTTTGTTCTTTTAACCAGGATTTACCCAGTCCTCCGAACTTTGTCTCTCTGCTGATTTGATGTGGTTCATAATAAACGAACCCCGAGGAACCGAATATTTCCGTCTCCTTTGGTCTCCAGCTTTTATATTAGCCTACCAGCAGATATCTCCTATTTCGCATATCCCGATTTTGATCCCTTGTTTTGGTCTACAGTTCACACGACGCCTTTTTCTTTATACTATACTTTATTACTACCTAGACAAGGGTACTAATTATCTGCTGTTGGCGCGATTTTAATTTTTTCCCTCAATGTCTGGTCACTTCGCTGTTAGTATTAGTTAGTTTTGCCATCGCCAATTTTTTCTCTAATGCCGTTAACACCTCATTTGGGCGATGTTGGCACTGGTGTAGGCACTTCACTTTTCTCATACCACTACTAATCAACATTCCTTCATCTTTGTCTCGTTCGTCAATCGCTCAGTTCTAGCTCACTATGTTTCATTCCCATTAGCTGCGCCCAGGTCAGGGAGACCAGCAACCTCCACCGCCAAAGAAAACCTTGGCCTAGTAATGGATATGATCACGAAAATGGTCGATTAACCATTCCTTAGGGTGATATATTGACGAATAAGTTAGGCCACTGAAAGGCTTCTGCTCGATGAGGGCCACTTCTTCTGACTCCTGAGCAAATCGCATCCGACGTGTGATGTCAAAGAACAATTTGACACTGTTTGAGGCAGACGCTGGTGATTTTCTTGCTCCATTCATCACTATGGATAAGTGTTGGGTCCACCACTCAATCAACAGGAAGAAAAGAACAATCAAAGCAGTGGAAGCATGCATCATCTATTGCAAAGTTATTGGCTCTTACTCTATCTTCCCAGTGGCTCTTTCAGCACACAAGCTGGTCACATACACTTAATCTATTAAGTTGATGTTAACTAATAGTTGCCAGTCAACATAACTGCTTTGGCGTTTTACGCTCTGGGACTTACAGTGACGAATTTGTCGGGATCGGCGACAATGTCTGAGCCTCATTTCTTTCTAGCGCTTTTAAACGCACCAGTCACTCTCTGGTCATGATTACCACTGCATTGGTCTATGGTTAAACTGCCTCGATTTTTCCCCTCTGTGATTGAGAGCTTCGTTATTTTTACTGTGATTTTCATCAAAAGCAACCTTTTTTCGTTGTTGGGACCATCAGTGAAGGTAGTCATTGTTTCTTCCTTGATTTCTCAATTCTTTGATCTTGCTAAGCTTCTCTATTCTGCTTTTGGCTCCAGACTGTTATTATGTCCGGCACCAGAGCTGACTTCCTCCGGTGTTGGGATATTTTTGGTGTCCAAAGTGTGTGTTGTTCACTGCCTTATGAATGTCATTCGCCACTACTACAAGTGTTTGATGGTAATCGTGCACTTACAGAAAACCCATGAGCGCTGAGGTCGAATCGGACATCTTGAGAATGAGGTACTTATCGCAGACGGTAACCTTTAAGTAGTGGGGGGTTTTTGGGTTTTTGTGTAGATTCGTCGCAGCTAGACTCAGGCAGACAGCCACCACACATCCAAGAATGCGCTAGACGGCCGTTTCGTCCTGTTGGAACTTGTCAGTAACGTGCACCCGCCGAGTCCTGCCAGCTTCGAACCCACGACCTTACTCTTGCGAGTCAGCGTCTTTTATCACTGAGCCATGGGCGACGGCAGCGGACCGCCATGACTGATATCCAACTGCGATATAGCTCGGCTCATCCTCCACTGTATTGCATGTTATGAGCATGCAGAGGATAGAGCTGGCCCCCAGAGCAAAGACTTCCTTTGCAGGATTCGGCGGGTGCGCGCTACTGACGCGTCCCAGTAAAACGAAACGGCCATCTAGCTCTTTCTTGGATGTGTGGTGGCTGTCTGCTTGATTCTAACTGCGACTAATCTACACAAAAGCCCAAAAATCCCTCGGCTACTTACAAATAATTAGTATTTACTGAGGAGTAGTGGGGGGATTGAATGGTATAGGTAGAACTTCGTCACAACTAGACTCACTCAGACAGCCATCACACGCCCGGAAAAGCACTGTACGCGTGTTTCATCCTTTCGGGAATCCTCAGTAGTGCGCATTCCATCGGGCCCTGGTAGGGCTCGAACCCGCAACTCGACCGTTGCCAGTCCGTGATTGAGACCACTGAGCTACGGGGGACGGCAACGACCATCGTGAATCAGTTTCTACATGTGTTATAGCGCCACTCGCTATCCAATGACTTGGACCTTACTACCGTGCAGACGACAGGGTAGCCCCCTCACCAAGCGGAGAAACTACATGTCCGTATCAAATGGGCCAAGAGCTTGCCGCATTTCTCGAAGTGGACCCCTAAGGCATTGTTGGTATCGGACATTTTCTGGCAGCACTACGTACTTAATGATAATGTCTTTGAGAGGCTCTGAGGACAAAGATGGTCTTCATTACTTGAGAAAATAATTCCGGGTGGAACCGAGGCTAGCTGATTGTATTTAGCACAACCAGAAACGATTCTGATAGTTAAATCTGATTTTCTAAGCGTACGGACCACAATAAAATGTCTAAGTCCAAACAGGTGAGACGGCTGGTAACACTACACTAACAGTGGGCATGAGTGGTTTATCATCTAAATTATACGTCATAAATCCAATAAAAATTCAAAGCAAGTCACCAAACAAAGTGACGATTAATGCATTACCATACTAGCAGAGGAAGCTTATCAGGCAGAAACATCAGGATAAATGATGTGGAGTTCCAAGTCGGTTCCACCAATTGTTGCACGGGCCTTGAACACCATTCTTCAGGGTTTACATGTAAGATGCGCAATATCGAGGAGGAGTTGTATAGCTGAACCCAATTTATAGGATACGCAGTTACCAAGAATCCGATGCGGGTAAGTATGAGCCGGGAACATTGTACCACGCAGCTCACTCGGCTGGAACGAGTGAAAAAACACAGATGATTGCAGCGTAAGAAGATGAACACCATCCGATAGTACACAATTTTGACTGAGTATTTCTTGTATTGTCCACTACCCAGTCTGACTATACGTAGTTCTACGGTCACGTATCATGGTATGTTCTTACCTCAAAATCTGTCTCGCTCCACACGTTCGCGAAGTGATTCTTTGGCATCTCCTTATTTGATTGTTCCATCCCTCATTGCTCTATAGTCATCTCTTCAAAGTTGTGACTATATGCGGCTTCTTTGTTATTATTATTATGTTATGTTATTATTATTGTGTTATGTTATTATTATTATTCCGCTGCTTCCCGTGGTTATCTTTGGAATGGTATGTAGGGCTGCCATCAGCGATGGCACATCGCAGACGTGCCCAATACAAGACCATTCTGCAGTTTACTGGTAGACGGATTGAACATGCACCACACAATAGCTAAAGTATGGCGTGACAAAGGATAAAAGATAGAGAACAGATCCATAGTAGGAAAGCGCTTAAGTGCACTGGCTTGAAGCTTTGCAAATGTTACACTCTGCTTGCGTAATCAGTGCAGTAAATTTCTGTATACCTATTAGACAAGCCCCTCTGGTTACGTTTTACGAACGTGTTGCCGCTTTTCTTTTAACTAATAGTCTACTGATTTTACATTTCATCATTACTAATGTTATGGGAAATGGTGAAAAAACGTTTCAGTTTTTGCAAATCTGGATTTATTTGAAGATATATTATAATTTTTAATTTGTCCTCTTTTTGGGCGCCAGTAAAAAATGATGCCGTGACATTTGCATTTATAAAACGCAACCACATTTTCGTGAGCGTGGTCGTTCTGAATCGACGCTCCTCAGTTTTTTTTATCTACCACTCGCAATTTTTGAGGCAACCTACTGTGCTTACACTTGTCCAACTTGCATTTACCAGCGCTATCCAATGGACCTACCGCTGCAGGATTGTCTAGCACACACCATCATTGCATCCCTTATTGCAATATCAATGGGATTTTCACAGCTATCCCATCGCGCACCAACCCTTACTTTTTAGTGCATACCGGCATTTATAACCTAATTCGATAAAGTGTTCTTAGTGCTATCCAGCGATTCCTTTACCACATGTATGGGAAACTCCGTTTGATAGCTGCAACACTTCTAGCAGCCACCATCCTAACGCTCGTCAAACTAGAGCGAATTCTACCACCCACATCAAAACTGTCTAAATGGCCTTAGTCAGACCTGATCGATATCTAGTCGGCGATACCCCACACCAGAATGTTCGCGTACTGACCTCAGCCGACTTTCTTTGCAACTGTAAACACCCTCGTAGAATACTGTCGCCGACATCGTGTGCTCGACGCTCGCAGACTGCGCACGTAACTCCCAATGCCTCGCAACACGGCAACAAGGAAAGCCATGTGTACGCGGTCCACACTGCCGCATACAACTTTGTAGCGATTCGGACTCGTGTTTTAAGACTTTGAATTGGCGTAAAATGTAGTAAGCGCAGCGAAAACTATCAGCCTTGGGGTATAAATTTAGGTGTGGCGAAAAGGAATGATCTACGGAGCACATCAGATTCCATTTGTTTCTGTACAGTGTTTGATTAACCCACTCGTAAGTTGCATCGCCGTGCTGGCTCAGAAATGTGACAAAATGTCAGCTATTGCGCACCGTGCGGCGGCTGATCTCG